CACTGATGAAGTCCGGGCTTACGGATCGAAAGCTTTGCAGTAATAAATTTACGTGGTGTTTCCACAAACAAAACTATTATATATAGCTTTTTATTTTACCTTAATTAGACTCAACTCAAAATGCATCAGCCCATGTCGGTCGTGATACACCACCTGCAAGGAATGACTCTGTAGTTCTTGAAATGCCAGGTACCACCAGATATATACAGTATACATTGTTATATTTCTTTTATATTTCTAGAAACTAGTTTGTTGTATTTAATGAATCTTTATCTTAACTATATTCCAGTGGCATCACCAGCACAAATGGTTTTTGAACCATTGAGACAACCAGAAATAATGGTGCCCAGCAGACAACCACCATTTGCCCCTAACCAGATTCCACCATCAATGCACTTCAACCATCTCGATCCAACAAGTTTTGATTTTTATCCATTGAACTTGTACAAGGAAATATGTAGCACATTTGATCATGGTCCACCTTTGAAAGATGCAACGGCTCTAGCATGCTGGTTGGGTATCACTGTTAATGAAAATAGGGCATTTGAAAAGAAGGAAAACCAAACAGATTTGATCATTCAAAGTTGGAAAGTAAGAAGAGGAAACACTGTTGACAAGTTTGTCCAAATATTGGACACTAATGGCATGACACAGCTTGTTGATAAAATTGGTGCATGTAGAGTATGAGTATTAATATGAACAGGAAGTTTTGTGAAAGGGTAAAAGAAAGCCTGGCTTGCTATTTGGTGTATGTTCATATTATTGTACACCAATGGTGTACATTGAAGATGTTTAATGTACACCAATGTTTCCCATTTAGTGGCAACCCATTCAGCTGCATTTAGACAATAGAGAGTTTGAGCAATAGTGCAAGACAACGAAGTACGAAGGCGTACTTGACAATTTTTGCCGTCTGCACATCAGGGATGGATCCAGATATGATCTGGTAGGGGGGTGGGGGGTGCTCTGCCAGCTCTGGTGCCGAATTGTGTTGGTCGTGGTGTGCCGCCCACCCATCAACTTGCTTCACTACTGCAAAGTCTTGCTTGACTGCTGTATTTGAATTTGAATTGTTCACAGTTCGCTTATCATCATGTTATTAATACTGAAATTAGTGTATCTCATTTTGCCTCAAATGTTTTGTCCTGGTGAGGGTAGGGATTTGGGCCACTCACTGCATTCATAAACAACTAGACATGAATCTCTATCTTCACACTCAGAATGCGCAGGGTAATGTGCAAAACAGGCAAAAATTGTCAATCACGTCGTCGTCGTTCTCTTGCTCAAACTCTCTAATGTCAGTTCTAAACTAAAGGTCCATATACAGACCGGACGCGATTAATTGGCAACGCGACGCGAATTTTCAGTTTTGAATGACATTTAACTTTAATATTTTTCAATGTTTTTCAAATATTCGGAACCACTTAAGCAATTTTAGCTATTTGGTCTGCATATCTTGTAAAATTTTTATCCGTTGACGGTTTTAAAACTGAAAATTCGCGTCGCGTTGCCGAATCGCGTCCAGTCTGTGTGGGCCTTAATGCGATTGCCACATTACCCCAGACTCCAATTGGACCAAACATTGCCAATAATAACAACATGACCAGTACCTCAAATACAAGATATGGTCATGTAGTTCCCGGAATAGCAGACAATGGTTGCTTGAAAATCAAGGCGGGCAAAGCAAATGAGTAGTTAAATATACTAAATGGAAACCAGACTTTGATTAGTTTAGTCAATTTCTACTTATACAACCAAGAAATATTTTGCATAACGCTTTGGGAACGAGGTGACTTGTTGAAACAACCCGCTACAAACCTGTTACTAACAAGAGATAACAGGTCTGATAGAACAACTTGCAGCAAGTCTGTTGAAATCAACAGGTCTGTTCCAACCTGTTCCAACAGACCTGTCGCGAGTTGTTTTTGTCAAGTCTGCAG